TTTGACCCCTGTGTTTGACTCCAAAGGGGTTGCGACCCACAGGTTGAGAACCACTGATCCATAATCATACATGGTTTATAGCAACACATGAACTATAGAAAGTCTAAGGGTTTAAAGGAAAAATGCCCCAAAGGCACCCTGCTATGAAGGGTCTCACTCTTTTCTACCCTGACATACATCACTTCGATCATTACTTTTCTTGAGAAGTAGTCAATCCATTTTAGCAAGTGTCTCTCTTTTAACTACAAAACAAAGATGCATGTCTCTAGACATGTTTCACTTGGCTTTCTGTCCATCTTTGCTTGACATTTTGAGTGGGTTCATCTGAAGTAGAGCTGGTATGAGTCTGTTAAGCTTCATCTGATTTTTCCTGAGATGGAGCACAAAAGCCTTTGAGTTCCCTTGAAGGGCCTGTTTGTTTCCCATCTGAGATAAGGACTACAGTTATTCTTCCTAACAAAGCCCTTAAAGATTCGATGAAAGCTATGACTACTGCTCATCAGCAAAATGCACACAAAATACTGAAAGTGAGTTTGTTTGATGGTGTAAATTTGTAGTTCTTCCAAGAAGAGCCCACACCCATGGGCAGCAGGTCCTGGATCCCTGCTGTGTGAAACTTTTTAACACCACGTATTTTCTACTCCTCTCTGTTTTCTCCAGACCAAGCCCAAACATTGCACGTTTGTAACGGGAGAAACAAGATGTGCAGCATGCTGAATTTCATTAACTTCAACTCTGACTTTGAAGCTTGGCTGAGATGAAGTCTAACATCCAGTATTTGAGGGCATGATTACACAAACACTTTCTAAGAATGGGGTACCAGGAAGCCGGTGATCATTGACTCAGTCCACCTGAATCTTGGTACCTGCAGTTTCCTAAGCCAAAAAATACTCTTCACAAGCTTTGCCCAGTTGGATCCTGTCACCAATTGGTTTCAGGTGAACTAGTAACTGTTGTGATAGTCTCATGCTATCCAAAGAAGCTCCCTCACCAAAAAAGCCTCACCCTTGTACTGAGTTCAAAGCCTTCAAAGTGTTTACTAACACCTGTTTTTCCTTTTTTTTCTGTAATTCTCTTTTTCGTGTTGTTGCTAACTGTCTATATTACTACCCTTTTAAGCTATCAGAGAAAATCTTGTTCACAACATTCTACAATGCATGTGGAACTCAAGACAATCACAAAATATTTTGGGTAGATGAATATAGAAAATCAAAGTAAGAGTCAGAGATAGTTGCACCTGTAATTATATTTTATTCATGTGTGTATGCCTCTTATTATGGACATTCAAGGATTTGTGTTGCCCAACCTAACTGCACCTCTGGTAAGGATATTTCAAAAATGTGCAGTTGTTGCTATATTTCTATCCTATCATTTTTCACAGGTTTCAAAACGTGTCATAAAATATTATTGGGTCAGGGAACCAGGCAGGCCACCAGATGGTTGAGAGTGATTTATTTCCCTGATTTCAGACTTCTGAAGAAAGGGGACAGGAAGAAAGCCAGTACTTATCTCTGGGCTTACAGAATATGGGAGATAAAGGGACCTTGAAGCCCATCTAGCACAGATTCACTCTTAATTTAAAAACCCATTCTAGAGCCCTCAATGACGTGGCTATCCGACCTTGACTTTAATATTTTCAGTGATGAGACACTATCTTACAAGATAGCCTGTCTCAGGATTGGACAGAGGTTGATAAGCAAGGTCTTCCTCCCATTGATGCAAACTTTCCTTCCTGTAATATCTGGTCCTCGGAGTAACCCTGTGTGTGCCTCATTCCTGTTATGAATTATGAACTTTGAGATATTTGAAAATATCTAAACTATTTCCCCTTAGTTTCCTCAACTTCCAAAGAATCCTCTCAAATCCCCCAGTTCTTAGTCACTATTTCTTCTTTTAAGCACCCATTTTGTTACTGGGTGATCTCAGGATGCTAATCTCTTAATTATGGACCTAATTGTACTTGAGCAATAAAGCTACTAAATGATCCACTTTTGAGAGTCAATTATGCGTATAACTGTGCACTGTTATCATTACTAATATTAGCATCAGTTGTTAATTGTAAGATGCCAAAGCAGATTGTTCTGATACAACCTACCTAATCAGAGGTCTGTGTCTGAAATTGATTTATAACTGCCCAGACCAGCTGATTGACGGTCTTATGACTAAAATAAGAAGATATTTAAATTAATCTGGGTTACCAGTTTACACAAGTGCAACAATATGGCTTCCTCCAACCTTTCCGTTAGACATCCTGAAAACAAACCACCAAAAGAAAGCATCCCACTATGAAGTGAAAAACTAGCAAAAATAATCTAAGCCACTCTGGAGGAAAAATATAAATAATTGAGTTTCACAAGAAGAAAATCACTGCAAAAAAAAAAAAAAAAAAAAAAAAAAAAAAAAAAGACAGTTGCCGAGCAGCACTATATTCTTACGATCGCCACTATGGCTCTAACCATCAGCATCAAGGCAGACGCCACATCACTGGGCTGGAGCCCGGTCATTTCCAATACTGACTTACTGCTTGTCAGAACCAACCAATGAGCAAAGTTTACACTAGGAACAGTGATAGGATTCAATTCACATGCCTACATGTATTTATGCCCTAATCACATGTTCTTTTAACGAACAGCAGTAAGCTATAATGTATTTAAATCTCCGCAGTAGTTTCTATGTAACGCTCTCAGAAATATTGAGTCCTGTGTTCTGGAGCACAGAAAACTGTGGCTTGGTTGCATTTCATCATGTTTTAGGACAATCCCTAGACAACAGAGCAGTCCACCTGAGCACGAACACTGAGTGAGGGACCTGGAAACATTGTCTCCACCATGCTTTGTTCAGTTAACCGTATCTGATGTATCCTTTGTGTCATTGAAGCCAACTACATCTAATCTTAACATGTGCAAAATAATCAAAGCCAAACACCATATTTTCAGTTATGGGAGGAATTGCAATACATGTTTTTTATTATTATTATTATCTTTTATAGTAAACAAGCTGAGTTACTCAGTTGTCACAAAAATTCTGGTTATAGGTTAGACTATGGCCTCGAAAAATTTATGTTTGATCTGTTCTCTTCACAGTTCAGGATGTGATTTTATGACAACTGGGTTGTTTAAGATGTAATGAAGTGATGATGAACCCAGATTGCAGAACGGTGGGCTCCAAGGTGACCTCTCAGGGGAAGTTCAGAGACGGAAACACACATAAAAATACCAAGTGAAGAGAAAAACGCAGGCCAGGACAGCTTTCAACAAGAGCAGAAGCTGAGGGAGAGGTACACGGTGCCCTTCTTCCTGGGCCTTGGAAGGGGCTGACCTCACCGTGCAAGCATAGTGACCTTGAACTACAATCCTGTTTCTGTTGCTGAAGCCACTCAGCTTACAGCACTGTTGAAATTAATTCCAATCAATTAACGTGCAGTATAAACTATGCATTTCCACAACTGACTTCGGTAGCTAGCCTTAAAAAAAAAAAAAAAAATATGAACGTACAACATGGCGTGGGGGAAGCAACAACAATAAAAATTCTCCTACAATAAATAAAAGGCATATATCTTAAAAGTCCTGAGGCTGGGGGTGGGAAGGAATGCCTCAGGGGGAAAAGTATTTATTTGTTATGCATGCATTAGAATGTGAGTTCAAATCCCCAGCACCTACATACATGCTGAGCACAGCAGCACATATCTGCAGCCCCAGCACTTGGCTAGCAGAGACAGGCAGATACCAGGGGATTGCTTGCTAAGCAGCCCAGCCTAGACAGTGCGCGCCAGGTTCCGTGAGAGACCCTATGTATAAAGAACTAGGTGACATGGTGGAAAAAAGACAATTGAAATAAACCTCCGGCCTCCACATACACATGTATGAGCCACTGCACATGTACAGATATGCACAGCATGTGTGCATGAACATGCACACCCACACGTTTTATTATTACAGTCATATCATAGATACACAGAATACAAATACATATTCTTAGGTTAAGCCCCAAGCGTTCCGCGTGTCCCATGACTACATGACCACAGGTAGAAACGTACTTACTGCAACTCAGTAATGACATTTTAATTTAATCACTTGATCCAATTTAATGACTATCACTACACTTAGCCAGTGACTACTGTAAAACTTTGAAATTTTTTCATTTATATAATCCCATGTATATGTGTGTATGTCTGAATTTAGATATATGCATGTGTATGCAGGCACTGGGGTGGGGGGAGTCATATCCCCTGGAATTGGAGTTACAGATGGGTGTGAGCCACAGAGTGGGTACTGGGAACTGAAGCCAGGTTCTCTGGAAGAGCAGTAAGTGTTCTTATCCAGGGAACAACCTCTCTAGCCCAACTACATTACAATTTAATCCCATTACTGACTGGGCAATCATTAAATATAAAGGAGCATAAAAACTCCTAAGAAAGGGCAACTGATGACTGGGATAAATCCCAGAACAGACAATATGTAAACATTTTGGCACCAAATGATTAAACCCAGTAAGAAAAACTGCTTCAGCAAACCAAAACTGAGGTTACCAGCTATTACCAGCAGGGGGAACCAAAGAGCAGCACACAGGCTTTTCCTCAGGAGACTTCTTTCCCCTGTATCAGGGCCCTTAAAAAAGTATCCCTGAAAACTACAGAGCCCAGGCTTCCCACAGATCCATTCATCTACACAATCCACACACATGTGCTTTGAAAGGAGCCCTAAAACACACTAGAAACAGGCTCTAAGCATTGAAGTATAAAATCCAATCAACTAGAAGGGTTATTTTTTTAAAATAATAAAAGAAAACGCAACTAATGATGGAACTAGGTCTTTCTCACGCTCCTTTGTTAAAATGTGGTTAGTGATCATTTTTCTTCACTTTGTTTTCCTGTTGCTGCATTTATCAGAGAAAAATTTCAGGCCTAAAGATTTGCACAGAAAGTAAAAATGTAATCAGAATAGTGTTAAAAGTTCTTTGGGAAGTTTTGCTCTTGGTATGATGACCATACTTGATCTTACCTCTTGGTAAAGGTCACTGAGGTCCTCCTGGTGGGCCTGCTTGGAGCATCCCGGGAATTCCCTAACACAACAGGAATCTGGAGGCCAGTCCATCTCTGTCATTTCCAGCCAGTCAGTGAAGTATACCACACCACAGCACTTAAACTGAAAAAGAGTTACCCGCCACACTTAGAAATCACACAATATAGTTTTTGTTTAACTTGAGAGATGTCATAGTAGATTACTTAAATGTTTGTACTCAGTGTGAAACTCACTTATCAGCAAAAGCTATGTGTGTATTCTATCTTGACAACAGACCCATCTTAAGGGAATATCCAAGTAACCATCCCATAATGGAACCATTCTGAACAGCATCACCCACCCCACCTAAAAGCAAGCCCGTGTCTCATTCTCCACCTCTAGGATCCTCTGTGGATGATCACAGCAATGGCAGATTTCACACACATACTTACAAATTCAATAGATGAACTTGTATTTTCACTAACTTCTAGTTAGTGAAACTAACTAGTTTCTAGTTAGAAAGTAGCTAAGCATTTTATTTATTGTCCATTCACTAGCATAACTACTCAACAAAGACAACTACTGTAATAAAAGTTTTCAAAAATTCTATGGACAGACTTGATGACCAAAGCTCACATCACAGAGGTCACTAGCCAGTCTTTGTCCTTAACCAAGGCAAAAATTTTGTAAATAATTTGTCCAACTTAGTATCACCCAATAGGGTGGAGTTCTTGATATACCATCATGTTGCATCATTATAAACTCAGGAAAAAAATGATGGTGTTCCTGGTTTGAATGTAGTTGGACTTAAAGTGAGCGTGTCTTTCTCTATACCATGGCCAAACAGACTACTTTTTGTGGCTGTTGTTGTACTTCACCACAGAGTATTAAAAACTGTGATGAAGGCTTAGAAACACTGCTTGAAGGCAGGTGCAGGCTGGACTGAGAAGAAGTAACTGTGGTGAGGAGAGCTTTGTCCTTGGATAAAAGAGAAGTTCTCTTTTACACAGTGAGAAGGAAGGAATATGGGCAGTCATGGAGAACCCTGCCGAGAGTTATGGCTGTGCAAATTACATAGCCCAGGAGGCCAATCTGTGCTTGAATTAAGACTGAATCATAAAATATCACAATCCAGCGCCATTTCAAAGCTTAACCAAAACTTGGAAGAACTCTGAATTCCTCATGCAACGGCAAGCGAGGAAAATGTTCAATGTACTAGGTATGTTTTCACTCGCTGTGCCTAAACAGCTTATGCTTTAAAGAGCTTATGATTTTAAAAGGAAAAAGAAAAACATCTGAAAAGCACTTTGAATGATAATCACTGGGAGCCACTAATACCAAGTTGTGGGAAAATGTAAAAATATTTTCCGTATTGTTTTAAAACCATGGGTGTACCACAACCATCACAACAAAGGCACATCCTAAGCTACAAATTTAACACAAATGTCACAGACTGTCTAATCTGATGTCACACACTGATGCAAAGCATTGGGGAGCCTGAAAATAAAGGACATGGTTAAAAGACTCCCCTTTCTAAATGCTGTAAACTATCACAGTTTGACATCACATTTTACCCAGAGAAAAGCCTTTTCCCTCAGTTCCTAGCCACACAAAACCTTGTGGGGCTGACATCCCAGAGCAGATCTCAGAGCCCTGAGCCCTCTTCCTCCAGCCTCAGTAGAGTGGGCCATTTATCTGGCTTTGTCAGGAAATGAAGCCTTCCACAGTGGCGGCTTTTCCAGATAACTTAAACATGCCGTGTGCAGTGCCAACATTGTTAAGGAACCACTACCCTCTTCTCTGTGGTTGTCTTGCCTATCCAACAGAGGAGAGTGTATGGAAGCTTCCTGAACCTCCTCAAGGTGAACTCAATATTACCCCAGTACACTCCTGTGTTCTGCCACTACCTGCCAAGACTGTTTCACTACGAGTTGATATTACATCAAGCTGTAGAAAACACAGTAGAATCACTATTTTGCATGTAAATAAACTGAGGCCCTTCATGGGCGAAGTTACTTTCCAAAATCACAGGTCAGTGTATGGCAACATCAGCGATTCCAAAGTACACAACCAGTACCATGCTAAAATAAATACATTTTTATAATGGGGTTACTAAGAATTATGTGGGTTCCATTCAGTTGTCACATGCACATGGTTCCAGTGACTGAGGGGCTTCAAGGGCTGAAACCTGACCACGTGATTTTCTGGTCCATGATTTGTTGGGGAAGAAAGTCATCCTAGGCTGAGTTGTCTCTCTCCATCTAAACTTACATGTTAAAAATCCTAGCCCTGGTGGCACAGAATGGGACAGTTTATGATGAAAGAGTCATTAGGAGTGACTGATTTCCAATAAGGCCATCATCAAGGGCCATAATTAGGTATAAATAACACCCTTATAGGAAGAGGAAAATTAAACACAGAACAGATAAAGTCAAGACAACAAGAAGACATGGGAGAAGACCATTCAGGGGGAGAGGCTTCAAAAGACATCAGTATTGCCAATCTTGAACTTTTAACCTCTACAATAGTGAACAAACACTTGGCCTAAGGGACCCTGTTTGTGACACTTAACTGTGGCAGTTCTGTGAGGTTAATATAAAGAGTTTGAAAGTCGTCCAAGTGTTTGGCAGTATTCACCACACCTTTTGTGCAAACTAGCATTGTGAAGCAAGAGAGAACATGCCAAGAGAAACTAGCATGTAACATTCGCAGTGCTTGTAAACTGTTCACGGAGGCAGAGCCCTGTAAGGAGGAGAAGCAGCTCACTGTTTCTCGATCTGGTTTATGGCAATCTGTTTCATCAGTTCCTGGAAATGAAGACTCCAGGGCTCCACCCAGGGCAGCCCCCAAACCCAGCTTACTATAAATGCCCCAGCGTTTTGTGTGTCTTCCTCGTTGCACCGTTTTTACACTATTGGTGCAACAAACAAAGTCAGGAAACGATGAAATAACAGGAAATCTGTGCGACACTGATAATGTCACCATCTCAACAGTTGTGATCCGAAGCCAGGTTTGGAGATTGTCCTAGACTTGAATCTCTGCCACGGGCATAGACAGGGATGGCCGTCCAGTAAGACACTCGTTCTCATATGCCTCATGGTCCAGAGCAAGAGAAAGGAAAGCATTGTCACTCGGCTCACCAGGAAAATGCTCAGGAGAGCTGGTTTAAAGCAAGATCAATGAGTAATCTCCAGTCACTGGCTTTTAGGCATCTAGAAATCAGTTCCCACTTCAGATGGATGAAATGTAGAAGATTTGGAAGGAAGGTATACTTCGTAATGGCAGGAGAGGCTAAGTGAGATAAGGCCGATGATGTGGTTGACTCACTTGTCTTCACTCTGCTTGGCACCCCACGAGGTGAATACCTGTGCTGTTCCTATGTGACAAGTGGGGAAACTGAGGCCTAGGGAATTCAGTGAAATGATTGTAAGTGGCAGAGCTAGGATTTGAACTAAAGACATCCTGACTAGAAAAAAAAATGATAACTTAGTAACCAGGCTGGCAATGATGTTCACAACTAATGACATTCACAACAAATGGAAGCAAGCTTTTAAAGTGTTGAAATAATGTTTAAAACACCGGTGACTCTAAAAGTAGCAAAGTGACAGTGAAAGAGAAATGCCTACGTAACACTTTGGCTATTTATCAAATAACTCATGAAAAGAAACTTCAGAGCAGTTGGGCAAAACAACTTCTAAATAAGCATGTGTGGACAAGAAGGAATGAAGATGGAAAGTGTAAATGAGATGGAAAGACAAGCAGGGATGATTTGCGGCATTGCAGGGGTTAAAAAAATACACCAGGCTTCAGTTTTCACTGAAGAATATGATCAAAACCAAAGTTTGGACACCTGTTTTGACAATTTGCCACTTATTCTGCACTTTCTACCCCCAGGAATGGCAGCACTTACCTCTCTCTGAAAAAAATTCCAAGCATGTGTAAGCCATCTATACCTGGGTAAACCATAATTTGTCATTCTGGCTTTCAAAGTAACCATATCTGACCACTGTACTGGCACCTAGAGATAAGAAACAAAACAGAACAAAGTATCAACATATAACTCCAACCAGCCAGGCAAAGGCTTGCTCACATATATAAATCTACAACCTTCACCATCCTGGCAACACAATACCACAGACAAAGGCTCACTCACATACATAAATCTACAACCTAGAGCACACTGACAACACAACACCACATGTATACAGAGTGTGTTAAAGCTCACACATACCATTTTAATTTATACTTGCTTAGAGCCTAAATTAAGCTCACACCAACACGCCTGCCATTCAAGAAATTGGTGTGGGGATCAAGAACGAAGACATAGAAAAAGCAGGTGCATATAAGCCTCTAAAACAGTGGTTCTCAACCTCCCTAATGCTGTGACACTTTAATACAGTTTCTCGTGCTGTAATGATCCCCACGATAATATTTTCATTGCTACTTCATGACTGTAATGTTGCTACTGTTATGAATGATGATGTAAATGTCTGTGTTTTCCAATGATCTTAGGCGACCTCTGAGAAAGGGTCATTTGACCCCCTCAAACCTAAAACCAGGGTAATTTTGAAATCTTATTAAAAACAGTACTATCAGGCTAGAATGATGGCTCTGTGTATAAGAGTGCATGCTGCACAGCATTAGGACCTAAGCTCAAATCCCCAGCATATAGAAAAGGCTGGCTATGGCCACGTGTGCCTGTAACCCAGCACTTCAGGAGGTGGGGGGGGGAAGGACAGAGAGCAAAGGATCCCTGGAGTTTAAGGGTACCAACCTAGCAGAAAATGCCAGTCTCCAGATTCGGTGAGAGATGCTGTCCCAAAGGGACAAAGCAGAGCTGGGTGGAGGAAGACACCAGTTACCCTCTGACCTCAGCATTTCAGCACGGGTATGTGCACCTGCAGACAATGTTCACACACATGCACACAGGGCACAGATATGCGCATGCCATTTTTAATGAAAATTAAATTTAAAAATAGTAATAACAGCTGAGAGGCAGAGACAGGTGGGTCTCTGTAAGTTCAAGGCCAACTTGGTCTACAAAGCAAGTTCAAGAATAGACAGAGCTACCTGGGGGGGGGGGTGTCGGGAAAGCGGGGGAGTAATATCAGTAGAAGTAAGTTTAAAATTCCCTAGCCACAGAAATCCTTCAGTTTTATTTCTTTTCTAGTCGTTTTTAAAAACCACTTGGAAGCATTTAATACAAAGAACAGCAAGTTGGTTGGGAATCCGTTCTATTCTTGTGGTTTAATAAAGTTCAGAAAACTAGACAAAGGTCAAGCCACCGGCTAAAAATTATTATCTCATATGCATTAGGGCATACCGTGAATGGAAGTGAAATAAATTCTCGGGAAGTATATCATCTGAAGCAGCATTATCGACAGATTTTAACTGGAGGATTGATAGGAGCTGAGCACATGGAGACAATAAAACTAATGGGTGAGGAGACACATGTCAAGTCTCCTGACTTAGCTAACAGAGTAAGTTTTTTCTAAATTTTTGCTTTCCAAAATAAGCACTGGTTGTTTCTTCACTGTGGTCACCATCAATCTGAAACCAAATGTGGCAAGAGAACAGAGGGCCATTGAGGATCTGGCACCGAACACTGGGGTCTGGCCATAAAGTACAACACACAGTGAACAACTTGCTTGCGTGAAACCGCTTGGAGCACAAAAGCCCATTCTATGTAAAGGTTGGATTCTGTGAAAGTTGGCAGACAATAAACTTTAATGACACTTTTCTTTTACACTGTTATTAGTACAGAAGCAATAAAAATTGCAAAGCCGACTTTTCTTTTTGTGCAAGGCTGCTCTCCACATTTCACTTTCAAGCAGCCCTTCCTGCCTCTCTCCCGGTGGTGATGTAATGGGGAAGATTTACACAAGCAAAACAGTCAATGACATGTGCCCCTGACTCAAATGGCTGGCAGTGTGTGTTCACTTAGTGCCCCAGGACCTGAGGCCATTGGGTCCCTGCTTAGAGGGCGGCATCTGAGTAAATGGAGTTGCTTTGTGTCCCCGTGTTTCTGAGCATGGAGAAAGCACCCCCCTCAAACACGCTGAATCAACTCACCCCAGCTTTGGAGATTCATCATATCAGGAGGACACTGACTTCGCAATCCAGCTGGAAAAATCCATAGAACTAATGGGGTGTGCTGCCTCGTGGCAAGAACTATTGCACTTAAAGGGTTGAGACAGGAGGATTGCCATGAATGTGAAGACAGCCTGCATTACACAGTGAGTTTTATGCTAGCTTGGGCTGTGAAATAAGATCCTGTCTCTAAATTAAATAAATAAATGAATCCATAGAATGATACTCATTTCAAAACAGTAATTTTCAATTACCAAATCAAATAGAGCCCAAAAGTGGGGGTTAAAAGAATTAAGACTTATTTATAAGATCTATTCTTCTGCTGTTCGCATGTCGGGGATGAAGGCTATTTCTGAAAACAGGGTAAATCTCCTTATAGCCGAAACAACACTCTGGGCCCTACTACTTTTTCCTTTTTCCTGGTGTAAACGTTTCTAGGGATAACATGAAAATGTGAGCTCCCATTTTATGGGAGGTTGTTTCCCCCCATACGTTCTCAATTGTATATTAAATTAGTTAGGACAGACCCTGAGCCTTCAACTTTCCATAGATTCTGTCTTCTTCCCATGAGTCCTCATATGCGGAAGCATGAGTGTCTTCACAGAGCAATGACTGCTAGCACAGTGGCCTGCACAGGTCAACTTCGGCATTAGTCTGCAGTAGCCACTGAGTATCCATAGTCTTAGCACACTACAGATTCACCACAGGACCTGTAATAACTGTCCTGACAACGGAAATGACATCAATGTTGTTACACAAATGCCTAATGTCCTGCTTATCTCTGAAACAAATACAAAACTACCACCCCTCTTAGGAGGTCTTGAATTTTTAGATGTTTAAAATTCACCAGGAACTGGTCCGGTGCCCAGGCCCTGTCTCTTCCCTCCATTCTAACTGAGCACATCTGGACTGGAACAAAGGAACACATGTGACTAAGAATCACCTTTAAGCCTTGGCCAACACATCGCAAAGCACCACGTTGCGGAAACAGAAGTATGCTATGAGGCATGGCACGAGCCAGCATTCACAGGCATACACAGCAACGCCATTCCTCGCTGGGAACAACTGTACTCATTTCACCACTGAAATTATGCAAGGGCCAGGGGTGGGGGGTGAGGGTGGGGGGATGATGCAAGTGACAAAGCACCAGGTGAAAAAGGTTGGAAAAACTCCTCGTTCACTCTAAGGAGGCTATGAAGGTTTTTCCCTGGGGGTTTCCATGGCTGAAATGGAGGGGAAATGCTGAACTTCTGTTTTCAAGCAGCCAAATCTCAAGCTGTGAGAGTTTTTACACCACAGTGAGCACACAGCAACTCTTCTTAAAGGGCAGCTTGGTTTAGCTTGCCTCAATCAGGAGATGCTGGCTTCCTTCCTGCTTTCTGCTGAGGTCAGCAAGAATGGGCTTGAAGGAGGAGGTCTAGTACTCTCCAACAAACACATGCTCATCTTCCTCATTATTAACTCGGGAAGCCGGTGTGATGGTCTCAGACTAGTTCCAATCCATGATGTCCCTGTTTAAGCAATCTACAGAATTAACAATGTATCACAGTACCCCAAGATAAAGATTTTAAATTATCACTTGGAAATGTGCTTTAGCCACAGGGGAGGAAAAAAATATGTATGTTTGTATGTACGTATGTATGTATGCATTGATTTTTCAGAAGTGTGAGGAATGTTCAGCCATACCATGTCATGTGATCTTGTGAAGTAACAACAACATAGCACAGTCACTCTCCAGTTTCCCACACCATGATTCTGCCCCACTGGGAACTCACCATAACCTCCTGCTCATATGTCCACACACCACAAGCCAGTTCTACACAGAAGATGACGAGTAAAGTTCCAAAGTACTGCAGAAAGACAAAGGGAATGTTAGCATGAAGCTATCTGAGGCATCAGGGTTGTGTTGACCTATAACAAGAATACACACACTCCTTTCCAGGGAGCACATGGAAATACTTTCCCCAAGCCCGGGCCAGCTACTGGTAACCATGAGGACTCACCTAAGTGGGCCTTTGTTTTGTCATTAGTCAGCTGTTAGGGTAAATCTTTTATAAATATCAATCATTTCCTTGAGCTAAGAACTTACATGATGGTATTTAATAAAACTGAACTGAGTTCTCTGAGAAAATCCACCTAGTTCTTCTCACAAAGAATGAAGTGAGGTCTGCAAGTTCAGTGCTTTCCCCATGGCGCATTTTCAATTTCTTTTGGGTAAGGAGGAGGAAGGCTCCTTTGCATTTGGAAAAAAAGAAGATGGAAATGAAAAATCTCTACTACACACTCACGCTAATTGGAAGTGAACAGTAAGTTTCTCCTGTGGGAGGAGGTTTCAGGAGGCATGCAGAGGCAAAGAGGTCACAATGTTGAGGGCAGTATTGAAAACAGAAATACAAATAAGGAGTCGTTATTTCTGTGAAGTAGAGAATATGCAGGATCCTGAACAGGGAGCAGATCTGCCACAAAGGGAAGAGAGAAGTTTGGGCAGATGAAAATGACATAAACAAATACACAGAGGCAGGTGGGTGGCCCCACACAGCGAGTAGGAACACAAACACAGCCAGAAGAAAGAAAAGCGAGAACAGAGTTGAAAGGCAGATTGAAGCCAGATCATGGGGACACCAGATGACCCACTAACAGAATTTAAACACATCATATAGGTAATAAGGTAGCATCTCTGTGTGTTTTTGAATAAGAGAAAGACATGAATGGATTAAATAATGGCGGGATGGCAATCAATTTGAAAGGGAAGGGCTGAAGGATGAGTTGAAAAATCTTAGAAGACAGCCAACACAGGTCTGACCTGAATTTAGGTGGTGGCCTTGCAAACAAGTGGGAAACAAGACCTTCCAACAATTTAACAAAAGGACATTGGGCCACCTGGATACATAGATAAGGAGAGGAAGATGTGTCTCCCCAAAGCAGAGGAAGAGATGGAGTTCTTGTGGGAGGACGATGAACTTGTGTATTTTATTTACAAAATCTAGAAACACATTCCATTAAAAGCGGTACTTCAGAGCTCAGGTGCCTGAGGGAAACCATTCTCTTATTAGAAACAGAGTAACTTTTGGATAGCACCCTACTTTTCAAGTTCATAATTTGGTCAAGAACCTTCTGAAACAGGATGGTCCCACAAAAGGTAGGTCATGTGACTTTTAGAATTGTGCCTGGTAAATTTGGTGAACTAGTCCTTTGCAGCATCGCTCTGTGTGCTCATCCTTACCACGCCCCATTGGTGGAGGTGACCTCTACAGAAGCAAGGAGTGAAAACTGGAGGAAGAATGGGCCTCCTAGATGTTCTCTGCACTGATCCCAGCAGGAACAGAACACCACTGAGCACGCAGGTCTTCTATTTACTATGAAGTATGAGATTTGGTGATCAAACTGGATGGTGGCGGTACCTTCAATTACCTCCTTCCTTGCAATCACAGCTCTATGAAGAGCAGACACCCAGATGTGTTCTTTATCACATAGTTAGTGCTTGACAAATCCTTGTTACACAGAATAACAAGTAAAAAGAAAGCAGGATGGACTGATAATGGTTGCCAATGCCATGGGCTGGAAAGAACTTCTTAACAAAGGCGATCTTTAAGAGCAGGAGGAGGAAACAATTCTGTTAGGATTCCAGACAAAAAGAAGTCTCAGAGGAGGAAGCACCAAGCACAAAGCCACTTAGTGGATGAGAGTGGTAAGCAAACTCAAAGTAACCAGAGTATAGATGTGGCCAGGTCGATAGAGCAGATACCAGTTTTGAGGTACAGCAGGCTGGGCAAAGGATTTGCATTTTATTCTAAGTGTGATGGAATCATTAATGGGTGGCATCATCTGATGCACACAATGAAAACATTTCTAGCTGTTTTATTTACAGAGAGCAGCCTCCAGATAAAGCAAGGTCACAAAATTTACAAAAATGATGGCTAAACTAGGATAGGAGGGGAGGACAATAAAGGAGTATACTGGCACAGGACTGTTGACTTTCAAGCTTGACATTTTTTAGAGTCTTTCTTCAAAGTTTGTCAAAATGAGAAGAGCAAACAAAGATGTAGAAAATTACATTTGCCTACTATTTCTGTGAAATAGTCCTCTTGACTTAAAAATAGAAACCATTGCTAGTAGTTTTAACTTGCTTTCTTCATATTTCTTGCATTCAAACAAACAAAAAATACAACTGCTTAATCTCTAAGTAGCACAACTTAGAAACAGTAATTGGTTCAAAAGATGAAGTAGGATTTGCTAAGGAGCTCCCAGTTCACCAGGCACTTCTATTCCCATTGTATGTAACACAGATGCAGACATGGGTGGCTTCAAGACTCGGATCTCATCTCTAAGCGTTACTTCTAGGAATGTGCTGAAAAACTTCTGCTTTGAAAGGTCGGCTAAAAGAAATCTGGTGAACTAGGTTACCCCGTCAGTCTCTCTAAGCACTCTCTTTAATATTTAAGAAATATTTCAACATGAAAACTATGTTTACTATGATAATACAAAAATGTCAAGTGTTTAGGATTTTTCTGCTTAACCAATGACTTGCCTTTAATTGAGAGAGAGAGAGAGAGAGAGAGAGAGAGAGAGAGAGCTATTAGGAAAGAGAGCTATTAGGAGGCAGTTATACTCCAGGGAAAAATTGCACTATGAGATAACTTCACAAAGCCTTAACCCAAATTCTTGGTTTTTTTCCTTTTGTTGTTGTTTTGTTTGTTTGCTTGTTTGGTTTGTTGTTGTTGTCCCTCTGATTTTTAATTGAAACTGACATTCTTTGTATTTTTATTGTTACTATTATTAGAACCTTTATCTTACTTTTATTGTTTCTTCTTTGGTTTACCTTTGGGAGGACACTGCAAGGGTGAGGGGCAGACATGGGGTACTGGGGAGATACAGAGATGGTTTTGGGGTGCATGATGTGAAATTTCCAAAGAATCAATATTAAAAATACGTTAAAAAACAAACAAACAAAAAAAACCAAAAAACTGATGTCCGCTCACATTAAAAGCCGAAGCAGTTCCTGCAAAAAAACAAGATAACACTACAGATAACACGGACCAGGTGATAACTACGTGTGCTGGCTGGAAAGGGAGTTGCCCTGACTCTACCTTGGTGATAGCCACAAACATTTCTGGACTGAGATTAAAACCTCTGAAGTCCTGGCTGAGTTACCATCCTCATTCCATGCCTCCTGGAGTCACTGGTGAGTATGGAAAAGGATACAGGACCTGACCACAGGCAGATGTATGCAATATGTGCAATACGTGGAAAACGGACAGGCCTATCCACTCAAGCTACAGGCCTATACCAACAAGTGTGCTATCATGTCTAGTTTATTTATATTTTTATGATTTTGTGTATGTATGTGCCTGGGTGTATGCAGGTACCCATGGAGGCCATCTGAAGAGTGTGCAAGTTCCTCTGGAATAGGAGTTATAGGTAGTTGTGAGTCACCCAGTGCAGAGAACTGAACCCTTGGTCCTCTTCAAGGACAGCATGTGCTCTTACCAGCTGAGCCCTCTCTCTAGCCCTGCATTCTTAAAAGAATCATGACAGTGAACTTCCGTTATCATTACTTAAACATCCACAGATATGGGATGTAAAGTACATACATCAGACATGCTCTCATCCCCAAACTCAAAACTGACTGTTGACCACATGACAGGATAAATTCCATATGACCTGGCCATTCTTTCAACTCTGGGAAATTCCAGTGGTTTCACCTGATGCTATCCCACGCGAAATAATCAGTGGGTCTTGATCCCATTAACACTCAAGGGACTGACTTACTTGCCCTTGAGGTTGAAAATATTCCTTATTACATTATCACGCTTCCTTAAAGTAAATTAAATGTATGATTTAATTCAAGTAAACATTTTTATGAAGGATGCTACATGGTCCTGTCTATTATCCTACACTGTTACTATTGCTTTAACCTGAAACATCAGTCAACTAACTCCAGGAACACTCAAAATGTCAAATCCACTCTGGGAAGATTCCGCATGACAAGTCCATCCTTCCAGCACATAAGCCAGCTGTATTTTCCCTTTGCTTTTCTTTCTGGGGAGATCTGAGTCATTTAGTCAGTACCCTACCAGTCATTGTGCAGAGGACCATTCAATCACTATTTTCACTGAGGAGCTGAATTTAAAGCATCTGGATGCATGATGGTAATGTTTGTCTAGCTAAGGAATGAGGTGCATGCAGTATGTTTGATGAGCTTACCTGAACCTGCCTGCTTACACAGCAACTCTGCCTGTCCCCTCCTATGTGCCTTCCTTCTAGAACATGGGAAGTTCTGAATCTGGAGCTAGAAAACTGAAGTTCAAAGCCAGCTCCAAATAGCAGTGGTTTGGGACTGTTCTTTTAACTGCCCTGCTGTCAGTTGGCTCATCTGTATAATACAATGAAGATTAAAAGTGAAGCAGTTGTCAAGGGAGATTTGGTATCCAACCTAGTGCTCCAGGAAATTTGAAATGTGTTACAAATGCTTCTCTGTATTACTTTATGAAACCTAGTGCAATACTGATTGTCCCTTTCTTCCCTCCAGCACAGCCTTCATTGTCTTCCATGGGGTACCATTTATTCTGGCACTTTCTTTGGCTCCCGACCGCTGGACTCTCCTCCTTTCCTCTATGTTTCTGGGTCTCCCTGTCTTCTGTATTTTAGGCCTCAGAGGCTTAAACCAGTTGCCTGCCTTCTCCACAAATTACTGTGTCTGTCAGTAGCTAGGCCATCAGTTCCAGCTGGCAAGATCTTATTTTTAAACATCATTTTATACCCAGTGCCTAAGCAGTACCTGTCACACAGCGCATACTCAGTAAATGTTAGCGGAAATAATAATCAGTTTGCAAACTCGAACGGCCAGTTT